TCTCAAAAAAAAAAATATATAGAAAAAAAAGAAGAAAAATGTATGTTATGAATGCATAAAATATATGTAGATACTAGTCTATTTTATCATTTACTACCATAAAATATACTTGACTCTATTATGAAAAGTTAAAATTTCTCAAAACTTATGCACAGAAACACAGACAGTACATGATCCATTTTCAGTCAAAAGAAATATAAACAAAGGTGCAGTATTAAGTCCTAACTGCATAAAATTAATTGTGGTGCATCTGTACTACTGTAAGAATTTTATAGCCACTTTTGATATTGTGGTAAGTCTAGTTGTTATATCTGCTTAAAACCTCATGTGATCTTAAGTATCTCCGTGTGAGCAGTTCATCTCATCAATACATTGCCTATCACAATGAAAAGTGATCGCTCACATGTCTCATGTATTTTTCATCATTGGATGGTTTAGTGCAATACTAAACTTGAATAACACCATGGCACCCATTCGAAGGGCCTCTAGACTGGGAGTCTCCCAATAAGCAGAGAAAAGTTATGACATTACAAGAAAAAGTTGAATTACTTGAAATGTACCATAGATTGAGATCTGCAGTTTTGCTTGCCCACTGACTCAAGTTAAATGAATGTTAGAAACAAGGAAATTTGTGAAGTCATCACTGTTGTTATATCAGCAGGCATGAAAACCTTGTACTTTTTGTAAAACACTTTTTTATTTTTTATTTATAAAACAGCTTTTATGTGGGTTTGGGATTACTGTAAGAAAGGCATACCTATAGCCTCTAATGTGATTTGAGAAAAAGTAAAGTCATTATATGATAATTTAAAACAAAAAGAAAGGGAAGGATCTAAAGCTGGAGAACTTAATGCCAGCAAAGGATGGTTTGATCATCTTAGAAAGAGATTTGGCTTTAAAAAATGTTAAGATAACAGAAGTATCAGACGGGTTCCCAGATGCCATTAAGAAAATCATTGACGGGAAAAAACATTCTCTTGAACAGGTTTTTAATGCAGATAAAAGTCCCCTATTCTGGAAGAAAAAAACTGCACAAAAGACATTTATTAGTAAGGAAGATGAATAAGCACCAGGATTTAAGGTAGGAACAGATAGGCTAGCTCTGTTTTGTACAAATGTTGTTGGATCTATGATCAGGACTGCCTTTACCTAGAAAGCTGCTGATCCTGGACAGGAGAAGATAAATAGCAGCTACCAGTCTTTTAGTTGTACAGCAAGAAGGTGTGAACGATAACTCTTTTTCTGGATTGATTCTGTTGCTGCTTTGTTCCTGAAGTCAGGAAGTTTCTTACCAGTGAGAGATTGCCTTTGATGTTCTTTTGACATTGGACAATGCTACTGCTCACCCAGAACCCCATTAGTTTAACACCAAAGGTGTCAAAGCGATTTACTCTCCCCCAAATACATCTTATCTAATCCAGCCCCAAATCAGAGGGTCATAAGGATTTTTAAACCTCGTTGCACGTGGTACTCTATGGAAAGTATTGTCAACACTGTGTAAGAAAACCCTCACAGAATATCCTGAAAGTCTGAGAAGATCACACCAATAACAATTCCATTATTATAGAAAAATCTGTGAAAGGCATCAAGCCTAAAACAACAAATTCCTGCTGGAGAAAACTGTGTCCAGATGTTGTGTGTGACGTCACAAGATTTATAACAGAGATTTTTTTTTAAAAAGTGGTGAGTGAAGGTTTCAAAATACAGGTCTTGAAGAAATTCAAGAGTTTATAGGTGGCACATCAGTAATCAACAGAAGATGACTTGGAGATGCATGCTTCCAACCCAGTGCCAGCCAATGAGGAAGAAGACCCAGAGGAAGCAGGGCCAGAAAACAGATTGACATGAGGCAGTCTAGCTGAAGGGTTCCAATTATTTGAGACTGTTTTTTATTTCTTTTACAACATGGCACTTCTATGATACAGGCACTGAAACTAAAACAGACGGTGAAAGAAGGATTGGTACCATATAGGAACATTTTTTTGGGAAATGAAAAAACAAAATTGTCATCCAGAAATTATGATGTGGTTCCATAAAGTTCTACTGAGTATGCCTGCCTCTCCTGCCTCCCCTTCCGCCTCTGCCACCCCAAGACAGCAAGTGAACCCCTCTTCCTGCTCCTCAGTCTATGCAATGTGAAGATGACAAGGAAGAAGACCTTTATGACGATTTGCTTCCACATAATGAATTGTAAATGTATTTTGTCTTCCTTATGATTTTCTTAATTACATTTCTTTTCTCTAGCTTACTTTCCTATAAGAAAACAATATGTAATACATACACTGAATATGTGTTAATTGACTGTTAGGTTTTCAGTAAGGCTTCTGATCAACATTAGGCTAGTAGTAAAGTTTGGGGGCAGTCAAGTTATACATGGGTTTTCACCTGCATAGGAGTTCAGCGCCCCTGATATCTCTTGTGTTGTTCAAGGGTCAACTGTAAATAATAGTGGTTTGGATGTTAAATTTATTTCTCAGAGGAAAAAAATGTTTATGTAGGCATGCATGCTATATGCATATATAAATATACATATATACACGTATATGCAGAACAATTTTTTCTCATATTTCCAGACTCTGAGCTGATTCTTAAAAAGAACTTTCAAGTTTTCTCACCCGATTTTCATATGCGTGAGGGAAGGTGGTGATGCTTTTGAGCTTTATTGCTGCTTCCACTGCCATTCCCATTGTTTTCATCTGAATCTATCACTCTGCTACTGTCTTAATTTTCGTATTTGCTTAAAAATTATTCTTGAGAAGTAGCGGAGAGTAGGACCAGCAGAATGTTACAGGATCCTTCATCATGATGGGTGCTCTTGCAAGTGCGGTGCACAACATGGAGATAAGGGTGGGGTAAATCGACTCTTACTGTCATTAGGTGTGTTGTTCACAGAGATGCCACTGCCCTGGCAGTCAGTAGCTTATGACCTCTACTCACACACTGTCCTCGGGAGCTGATGATGCCTTGGCAGCTTTATTAAATTAACTTATTTTATATGTAAAGTCACTCAGCCAGAAAATACCCACAGCCAAAATGGCACACTGCCTCTTATTGGATGCTTATGCCAGACATCTTTGTTACTTTTTCTCTGTGGGGCTGTATTAGCTCAATGACTTATCTCCTAATGGAAACACTGCCTTGCTTGTCCTTGGTGTGCTCTCCAGTTTCCCAGGGTCAACTCCACCGTGAGGGAGAGCTCAGTGAGGGATAAGATGTCTCTGGACCATAGGATCTCACTTTTCCTCCCAAAGGGCACTGCCCAGAAAGCTGCATTCCTTCAACAAAAGCACTCTGAGGACTGTTAGGTACTGGCTGCCATGGGTGGGAGGGGACAGAGAGGAGTCACACAGGACAGAGTGCTATTTTGAGGTGTGGTTGGATAGCATGTCAACTGTGTATCTCTACATAAAGAACTTCGGAAGTTCTGAAAAGGAAGTAGTTTCTTTCATCTGTGCAAATCAGGAAGACTTAGTTGAAGAGAGCTGAGCCTTAACAGACTGATAGGACTTAAATGTATGAGAAGAAATTTCCTTCCAAAAGAGTTTTCATAAAATTTACCAACTTAGATAGCATTTTCCCTCGCCTGCTAGCCTATCTTTTCCCTTTTCATATGACCTTAGTAATTGACTAAAAGGGCAGTTGTAAGGTTATGATTAGGATAGAAGAGGAGCATATAATTTCCTTTCTTGATTCTGCCACTGTACTTTTTTTTGGCTCTCTGTCCAGCACTAGTGGTCAGAAGTTACCTTAAAAAAAAAGTTGTCTTTGCATCTGACTTTTGAAGAGCTGGTTTCTGCGTGTTGCTTCCTGTTTCCCGTTATCTGTAGCAGTTCTGCATTACATTCTAGTTCACCCTTACAGCCTCTAATGTGATCTCTCTGCTTCAAGTTACCTGGTTTTACTTGCCAGGCAGCATCCGCTGAAGTGTCCTGTTGTCCTTTACCCTTGTATGTCGAAGTCAGAAGACCTCTGTTCTAGTAAAATCAGGGTGCCGCTGGTGGCCTGGCTGCATGCACCTTGTGAGCCCTCCTGTCCTGCTCCTTAATGTCAGTGTTAGAAAACGTCCAGAAGTGAGAGGATGGAAGCATTGCAGGGAAGGCATCGTTATTCTGTAGTACAAACATCACTTCTCTACATTCTGACTACATCATTTTTTAGTCACATCATATTGATCTATCTCTGAACAGACATATATCATTCCCTCCTTTTCTTTTCAGACTGAGCTAATAGATCTGTCTACGGTAGATGTGATTCTCATCTCTAACTATCACTGTATGATGGCGCTGCCCTACATCACTGAGCACACCGGATTCACGGGCACAGTGTATGCCACAGAGCCCACCGTTCAGATCGGCAGGTGAGAGTGTTTATTCGTATCCTTGAGGAGGTGGCTACAGCGCTTCTCCTTCAGCGGAGACTGTTAGTAGATCATCTTGCCAGGAGTGATTATATCGTTCCGAACAACTAACCCAAAGAATAGGTGGGAGTAGGCTACTCTCTAGGTAGAGGAATGTTCATTAGAAATGCTTCCTTAGAAATTAAGGATTGAGTTGGGTACAGTGGCTCACGCCTATAATCCCAGCACTTTGGGAGGCCAAGATGGGAGGATTGCTTGAGACCAGGAGTTCAAGACCAGCCTGGGCAATATAGGGAGACCCCCATCTCTATAAAAAAAATGTTTTTTAATTAACCAGGTATGGTGGCAATCACCTGTAGTCCCAGCTACTCAGGAGGCTGAGGCAGCAAGATTGCTTAAGCCTAGGAGTTCAAGGCTCTGGTGAGCTATGATTGTACTGCTGCACTCCAGCCTAGACGACAGAGCAAGACCCTATTTCTTTCTTTCTTTCTTTCTTTTTTTTTTTTTTGGGTTAGAGTCTCACTCCATCGTCCAGGCTGGAGTGCAGTGTCATGCACGGCTACCCCAGCGTCAACCTGCTGGGCTCCGGTGATCCTTCCGCTCAGCCTTCCAAGTAGCTGGAACTAAGGCTTGCATTACCATGCCTGGCTAATTTTTTTGATTTATTGTAGAGATGAGGTCTCATGTTGCCTATGCTGGTAGAGTCCAGCTCCGCAGGATTCAGGAACCCAGGAAGGATGTGTGGATAAGGCGAGGAACGAGTCGGACCAGAGTTTTGTCTCACACTCTGGCACTGAAACATAGCAGTGCTGATTTATTTATATCATAATTTTTGGCGCACACTTAACAGAAAGTTAACAGTAAAAGAAATGATTAACATGTGAAAATGATTACATGACGTACTAATGATTTTGCAGTTCTTATAATTTTTGCATATAATTATGGTTTAATAATGTTTGCATGTAATTCTTAGAAAAGAAGCTAGCTGTTCTTGGAAGTAGTAACTTATTAAAAGGGCAAGGTTAACATTAGCCAAAAAGTTAGTAAGTGGAAAGTAAAACTTATACTCTATAAAGGTAAATAGTCTATATAGATATAAAGGTGCCAGGCATATAACCTTTATGTAGTTTCAATTTAAAGGTCACTGTCTGCAATGAGACAGTGTTTACATTTTATTTTTATATACCAATCATTCCACCTTTTTTCTAAGTGCTGACCTTTGGGTTTTAGAAAGTAAGCACCACTGGGGACCACTGCGTTTTATTCTTTCCCAAAGAGATAAATCTCTCCACTTAACGTGTCTTCCATCTATCCAGACTTTTCTAACCATATCATCACCATATGCACCTGTATAAGGTAGTGGAGGGTCAAGCCATTCTAAGTTTAGCACACTACTTTTTCCTTGAGGTGCCCGCCATACTCGATTGTTAATATTATAGCCTATGTAGTCTCCTTCTCTTATAGTGGGTAGTGGTTTAGGCCTAAGGATATTAGGGGAGATAGCGGAGTATCTAAGCCTATCTTTAATTAACTTATGGTTTCAGTGTGTTCCTCATTCGTTCTCACTGTTCCTTGGTACCACAGTTTTATCAGAGTTTCTTTGTTTGAACTATTCTGGGAACAGTTAACGAGACACAGCGTAGGACTAGTTAGTGTTACAGATGATTGTGTTTGTACTTCTTGACTCTGTGTCATGCTGTTCCTGTTAATGGTTTTTCTTGGATCTAGTTGAGACATAATTGTTTTTTGTAAGTTATGTAGGAGCTCACATCGAAACTGTTATTTATCATGGATTTGTGAGCAGCCTCCTTTTCCCAAAACGTAACTAAACAAACTATTCCTATGAAGCCTACGCAAAACAATATAATGGGAACATAGTGGTGGCCATGACTTAAAGAGCAGTCATACGGAATTTTCCTCAGGACTTTCCGTGGGACCTTGCCGCTTGCACGGAATCTCCCCGGAGAATTGTCCTCACTCCGTTCCCATGCTGGCTCCGAGACTGTCATGGCCCCCGCCAGTTCTCGAACCCACAGGCTCAGGCAGTCCTCTCACTTCAGCCTCCCCAAGTGCTAGGATTACAGGCTTGAACCACTGTGCCCGGCCAACCCTATTTCTTAAAGGAAAAAAAAAGAAAGAAATGCCTAAGAACTGATGCTGCAGACAGCTCCTCTGTGCAGATGATACTAATTAGGGGAGGTAATGTTTAGGAAAATGCCACAAAGATGCAAGGCAAAGAGCTTCAGAGGAAAAGAACATAGTATCTTTAAGAAGAAATTTTATTGCTTTGCTTTCAAAATTTCCCCCCTTTTATGGTTTATTGCAGGCTATAAGTGGAGACAGCTTGTAGAAACCAGGGGATAGATAAGTCGTAATTAGACGGCTAAGTTGGCCCTGCTATTGGCAGAGAGAAAGTCAGCAGTCCAAAGAGTCTTGCGAAGGACCCTCTGTTTTTCCTTTCTCTACCCCTGCCGAGCCTTCGTGGTGTAGGTGGTTGCTGCAAGTAGCCATAGCATCATTTAGTGAGAAAAAAAGTATGTGAAGAAAATTACCCCAGAGAAGAAAAGTATTAATGTGTTGTTCTGAAATAGATTAACAAGTATGGTACAAGTTGAAACTGTCAGGACCCAAAATATGGGGTTTAGGGGTTGATATAAACTCCTAGGTTGGGTTCTATAGTGTCTTACAGATGCATAACAAGATGGAATTACTAGAAATGAAATATGCATTTTCTTGTTTTTATGTCAAATCATATCATCTGCACTGTGAAAAGAAAACCATACCAAATCTGAGGAAGAGCCATTGTAGGAAAGTAAAACACTCAAAGTGACAGGTCAGTTTCAGAACGAGGAAAAGGGAAAAAAATTAGACTCTGGTTTGAAAAAATTGAAGTGTGAGGTTTGACTCACCAGACTGTTTTATGAAAGCTACAGCCAGGACGATAATGAGCCTGGATCTTAGATCTTGGGATGTTAGAATGAGTATTGTTGCTTCATGATGGAAAGAGGGGATGGTATTAGGACTAGATAAATAAGTGGGAATGAAATAGAGTGTTCAGCTTTCAAATTCTAATAAATATAGGACTTTCCATGATCTATATATTGATTTGGAGGGGATTTAAGTCAATATGGATTGTCTATATTAGATTATGAAAGGAGATTCAAGATGTTGAAAATCTATTTCTAGCTTTGTGGTCATCTTCCGGTCATCAAGAATTCTAACAGTTCTCTGTCCCATGAATCCCCACAACATGTGTATCCTTGATCCAGTCAAGTGCAGCATTTAGATTCCCTGACTGATTCTCTGGCATTCCATCTCATGATCTCAGAGCAATCTATTGTTTTGCGGGGCCTTGAGTTAAATTTTTAGGGTTAGTCCTTGAAGTATTTTTCTACATGAAATTTTGCTAATTCCTAAAACACATGTCAAAAAGCCTTATTTTATCAGTTTAAAATGTCCATTTAATGTTGTCATTTTTTAAAAAAATTCTGCCCTTGCCCTTCTGCCACCAAAATTAGTTACTGCATAGTCATTTACTTTCCTTATTTATTTTTAGTAGGCAGAGATCTTAGAGTGAGAGTTAAAATAGACTTATGTATTTCTGTATTTAGAGACTAGAGACATGCCAGGCTTGTTTAAAAGGTGAACTAAATAAGTTAAGTTCAGAATTTTCAGCATAGAAATTCAATGAGAAGGCTAGATTTTTGTTTAACTTTATAAAAATGGTTTCCAAGTTAACATACAGCAGAGAGGAGAAGGATGGCGAGGTGGAGTAAGGGGAGGCAGCCAAGTCATGTCTCCTGGATACGGTGTTAGGATGTGGTGTTTTTCTAACTCAACTTTTTTTTTTTAATCTCAGGCTTCTCATGGAAGAGCTGGTGAATTTCATTGAAAGAGTGCCAAAGGCCCAGTCTGCCTCCTTGTGGAAGAATAAGGATATTCAGAGGTGAGGAACAGCCCTCTGTCTTCCCAGAAACTCTGGAGCTCTATGCTTTGCCAAACAACGTCATTTGATTTCTTATTTTATGTTTCAGCTTTGATTTGGTTATTCCAAAGATTCTTTTTTCCCTCATACATGAAAGGGTTACATTGGATTCAGTCATCGTTTTTTGAAAGGCATCTGTGCCTTTCAAAAGGTACTGCCCTGGGTGTGAGAATTAAGGACAATTAGCTCTATTGTTGAGGTGTTCGAGGTTTCATGGAAAAATCAGTTCAACGGGTCGGTTACAATTTTCAGGGCATGTCATAGAAGAGACGTTTGACTGCAGTTCTGTAGACACTCAGAAACTGAAGAACTCTCTCTGCTTAGGGAAACTGAGTGGGACAGACCTTAGGAGATGACAATTAAGGCGGCTCTTGGAGGAAGAAAAGGACTTTTCCAGATAGAAAAGGTCGAGAAGTGAGGTCCGGGCAGTCATGGGACATAGTATCTCAGGGAATAGCAAGAAATTCAGTGTGGATTAGGCAGAGTATTAGTCCGTTTTGCGAGACTGGGCAATTTGTAAAGAAAAGAAGTTTATTTGGCTTGTGTTCCTGCTGGCATCTACTCAGCCTCTGGTGGTGCCTCGGGAAGCTTCTATTCATAGCAGAAGACAAGGGGAGATGGCATGTCACATAGAGTGAGAGCAAGAGAGAGAAGGGAGGTGCCAGGCTCATTTATTTTTTAGAGTTGGGGTTCTCACTCTGTTGCACAGGCAGGAGTGTAATGGCACACTCACAGCCACCCCAGCGTCGACCTGCTGGGCTCAGGTGGTCTTTCTGCCTCAGTCTTCCAAGTAGCTGGACTACAGTCGTGCACCACCACACCCAGCTAATTTTTTGATTTATTGTGGAGACAAGGTCTCACCAAGTTGCCTAGACTGGCGTCCAACCCCTGGATTCAGGCAATCATCTCGCTTCCACCTCCCAAAATGCTGGGATTACAGGTGTGAGCCACCACCCCCGGCTTGCCAGGCTCTTTTAAACAGCCAGCTCTCACATGAAGCCATTCATAAGGGGGACTCCGTCCACAACCCAAACACCTCCCAGTAGGCCCCATCTCCAACACGGGGAGTCACATTTCAACATGAGACTTGGTGGGAGCAACATCCACACTGTGTTAGAGCAGAGAGATGAAAGTAAAGGGGTGGTTTGGAGCAAGATAGGGAAGACTCTAACCAACATGTGATGCTTGAATTCTACGGTGTTGAGAGTGTGCAGTCCACCAGTTGAGTTTTCTGTGGAGAATTACTTGACCACATTGCTTTGGGAAAAGTAACTCTGGAAGCATCAGGGGAATGGATGGGAATGCAGGGACACGGGCCTGAAGACCATCAGTGTGACTGCTTCAGAAGTCCAGGGGAGATAACAGGCCTGAGCCAAGGCGGTGGCGGCGAGCATGAAGACGAGAGTCTAACTTCAAATACGTTTTTGAGGTAGAATTGCGAAGAGCTAGTAAGAATTGTGAAAGAGCTGGCTTCAAAGAAGTCATTGGGAAGGGAAGAGGAGAGCTTAGCGCAAGACAAGGGACAAAGGAAGTTTCCAAAATTATGGCTTGTCAATGGTCTCAGAAGCTGCAGAATATCAAGTAAAAGGGAGATGAGGCCCTTGGCTGTGGAGAATTGAAGTTATTAACAATCCCAGAGGAGGTTAGTTGCCGCAGAGTGCTAGGGCCAGGAACCAGATTGTAAGAGGTGAGGTGAGTAGAAATGTGATACAGGAAGCAAGGCGGCAGCTGGATTCCACTTCCGTGCTCTCTCATTTAAGTTGACAGCAGAGGGCCCCAGTCAGTCTAATGTGCTGGGCTTTCTCTCACCCTAGCAACTGCTGCCTTCACGTGTGGGCGTGGCAATAGACCCACCTTCTGACCCTGACATTGAGTCTGGAGTAAAAACTAGCTAGCCTTTTGATTTCTTAGGCCGTTCATGTTCCATGTGCTGCTATACAAGTCTACTTTTTTCCAGTTCTTGCCACTGATTTCTCTTTCCCTATAAGTCAGATTTGTTAGTCATCTGCTTATCTCAACTTCAGAATGTCTTCATTTTTGCAAATATGTATGATGTATGTGTGGCTTCACATTAGGAAGCATGTTCTGGACAAGCACATACGTGAGCCTCATGTGCGTATGAATGGCTGCCTTGACCTGACTGCTCTCCTAGTGTGAAACATGGTCCCTTCCCCTCCTCGTGTTGAATTCCCATTCTCAGCTCCCTTTTCTGTCACCCACTGTGACAGCCCCTTTGTTATTTTCTTTCTGTCTCTCATGTGCCCACTGGACCACATAGAACCCCAGTTCCTTACATCTCTCCCCAGAGAAACCTCAGGACTTTGTTTTCTTTCCCTATGGAACATGCATGCTCTGGCTTCCCTCACTTCCTTCTTGTAATTTATCCCCTTTATTGTATTCTGCTGAAATAATTTTGGCACACCAGAAATGGTGTTCAAAGGTACTTCCTGACTCGCAACCCCGGGCCAAGTCTTAGAAATCCTAAGTCCTTATTTTGCCTTTTCTTCTGTGACCTTGGGCAAAGTCCTTGGCAGTTTTTCGTTGCCCCTCATTCTTTGCAAAAGAGAACAAAATAACTGGCTCACAAAAAGACATGCCATTGTGTATGAGTGAGGATGTGACTGATGCTTAAAGGATGAGAAGACTAGGGAGTGGGCCTGAAAATTATTTCCTAGGATGCTTAGTGAATCTCCCTTTTAAAGGTGCTAGTTGAAATAAAACCTTGAATTTCCTATCTCACCACCTTATAGGCAAAAATCAGAAACTGCTAAAAGCTAACTTGGTAGAGGAGCAGGGAGAATAACGTGCACTTTTAGAGAAGACCTTCTTTCATCCCAAGCCTCGTGAACTATTATGTCTTGGCTTTTGAGCATGAAATGAGCCAAAGTTTTGACACAGAGAGGGAAGGGTCTAATTATTAGAAAGAATATGCTGAGGTGTTAGACACACCAAGGAAGTGTATCCTCTTTTTCTCCTGGGTAAATTCAGCATAAATATTAGAAGTGGTGGTAGAAGAATTTGAAGAGCTATTTTTTCTTTAAATGGCATCAGACGAAAGAGTTCTTTTGAAATACTCGTGGAGAATTTAACCTTGGGCCAAAATTCGAAAAGCACTTCATTTGGACAACATGTATGCTGAAGGATTTAGATCATCTTTAGATTTCTCTCTGTCACAAGCCAGTTGATATCTAGTGTCCCAAAGTACTGCCACATACTATGTTGAAAACTTTTTTTGCTGTCTAGTTCATTGAAATTTTTTCCAGGTGACATGGCTGTATCTTCTCTGTGTGTTTTCATTCTTTTTTAATTTTCTTAATTCTTGCGCTTTTCCTGTCCAGGTCCTCTAAAGTAGGATCACAGGTTGGCATGCCTACAGGGCTGGGGAAGGTACAGACAGGAGTGAGGTGGGCTGGTGGGAACTGGACCGGCGACCATGACCCTCTAAAGGGACAGCTGACACACAGCTCCAGCAGATTGTGGCCATGTGGGAATGTGAGCCCATGGCTGCCAAATCTTCTATTTAAGAGAAGCTCAAAATCTGAAAGTTATAAATATGATTTTTTAAAAATCTTTAAAAAATTTTTGTCTTAGACATTAAAACCCTGTATGATCTAAGCAAAACACCTCTGTAAGGTGGATTTGAGACTTGAGGCCCAGTTTTTGACTTATACTTACATGGGCAGTCTCAAAGCAGATCATAGTCAAGAGCCTAGAATTAATACATCTTAGTAGCTTAAGTTACTAGTAAGACCATCAACTAAATAAAACAGTAAATTAAAAATTTTCAAACTCATTAATCAAAAGAATCTGACAAATTCCCTTAAATCATTTGAAGTTAGTTTGAATTAACATTTGATTTATTATTAGTGTGTATACCAAAAAAAAGCTATTACTCTTGCTTTTTGGCAGCTGTATAACTTCCTACCTCAGTTGACACTACTCCTTGAGATTTATTTCAAAGAAGTTAGCCATCCTTCTTCCTAATTTTGACATTGCAGTTTGCTCTTGAAAAAGAGATGAATTTTGAAGGGATGGAAATGAAGAATCCCTCATGATAGAATTTTGAGTCACTGATTTTTCCCATACTTACTTCAAAGTTTAGGTTTTTAATGGAAAAATGTAAAGCAAAATATTCCACTTAAGAAACTAACCCACTGTTTAGGTTTTTTTTTTTATATTTATAAAGCTAGCAGTATTTGTTTGTTTATTTTTGTAGAGATGGGATCTCCCTGTTTTGTCCAGGTTGGTCTTGAACTCCTGACCTCAAACAGTCCTCCTGCCTTGGTCTCCCAAAGTACTGAGATTACAAGTGTGTGAGCCACCATGCCTGGCCTGAGCTAGCATTTTTTATAAGATTAGAAATCTACAATTAGAATAAATCATTACAGGGTGTTATCTTTATCCTCTGACAAGCGTTGAGCAATTAAGCATTGATATATTCCTGGCTGAATTTTCATGGCAATTTTTAGTACTCACTAGTTAAAATGTGGGTTCATACCTTACAGAAGACTTAGAAGAAAAACATGTACATTAAAGTTGAAATTTCTTTGCCTTGACACTCCTTGGGTATCTGTAGAGGAATTTTTCAGGTCTAGCTATATGACAGAATATTTTAAAATGCGGGGTTGGAGGTCTAATAGACCAGGATTTGAATTTTTAGATCTGTTGCTTAGCGGCTGTAGCAACTTATTTCTTCTAGTTCCTGTTTCCTCATTCATAAAATAGAAATGGTATTAGCAGCTTCATAGGGTTGTTGTGAGAATCAAATGAGTAATGAGTAAAGTTCTTAAAACTATACCAGGCACATGGTAGGGGCTCGGTAAGTGCCAGCATCCTTATCTCCTTTAATGACATATTTGGCTTACATAATCCCCTGTTATTAACCAGAACACAGCTGCCTAATTAATTTTCAGACACTGTCTTTCCTGATGAAAGCAAGATAGCCCAGTGGGCAGAAGGAA